ACTAGAAATTAGGAAGGGTTGGTACCTGGGCAGGGACAACTGCCATTTTGAATTTCGCATTTGAACTCTGCCAAATGGACTGAAATGAGGCAACTTTTGACTAAAGACCGGGCAATGGGTGCTACTTCGTGTAAGTCGTTGCCTTTTCGGGAAAATACATAAGGGTCAGTGCACTTAGATATAGAACTGTGACGGGTTGCGTTAGCTAACAGTAAGCAAGGGGAAAACAAGGGGGACCTAGATGAGACGAGTCTGTAATGTTGTCGTTGCATTCGAACTTTGTCTCCTCCTTTTTTGGGAAGGACTGTAATGGAACTACTTTTTGGACTGAAGAAACAATTGGGGGTTGGGAGGCTTGTGCTACTTTGTATGAGTATTCGCTTCTTTGGGGAAAACGTGAACTTGGTTTTGGTAGTAAGAAACAAACTTCGGGGATGATTGGTTTTGCCTCGAGGAAATAGGCAGGGGCATGTGAACTCTCAATCATTGGAAGATGCAGTCATGGCGAGAGTTTTTCTTTCGAAATTGTGTACCCACGATTGAATGAGTCGCTCACGAGTCCTTGTGAGAGGTTAGGGGACCTATGGGTAGAGAGGCACCCTCTCCCCTAGGACCCTAATCCAACCTACCCCAGGCAATCCCAGAGCATTGAGAAGCATATGAGAAGTCAGAAAAGTTGCAGGGAAACATTGAAATGGTTGAACGGTCGGGCGGGCTAGTGCTGCTTGGGGCTGCGAGCCTCAACTTGAGTACTAGACGCTAAGTCGGATGTATGGATGGATGTGAGAATGACAAAAGACATGAGGAAAAGGAAGAAGCATGCGTAAAAACCGAAGACGATGGCCCCCTTCTAACCCCCGAGACGAGACAAGATCCGTGTCCTCAAGGCCCACCCCCTCGGGCGCTAGCATTGCAATGAACAACGATGGCCCTAACCAGGCTGTTCAATTGAAAAGGATAAGGATGGTCCTAACCAGGCTGTCTGATTGCAATGAATAAGAACGGCTCTAACCAGGTTGTTCGACTTCGAATTGGGAAGAATGACCCTAACCAGGTTGTTCGGAATGGCCCCTGACAAGGGTCATTCTTTGGAATTGGCATTGGGGTCCCCTTGCATGACTGCTTAAGATGTATGATACGGGGAGAGCTGAGCTTTGGAAAAGATATTGATGAGATATTGAGCTGAGCCTGAAAGAGTCATTGAGCTGGGCCTCTGAAAAGATATTGGAAAGTGCGGAGCCTTGGAAAAGACATCGGAAGAGATATTGGACTCAACTTTGGAAGAGATATTGTACTGAGCATTGGACTGAGATTGAGCATGAGAATGGGACTGCGCATTGGAATTGGATTGAACATTGGAAATTGCATTGCATAAACAGGGGACCCTAGGCAATCTGAAATGGACTTGGAAAGAGCCTTGAAACGAAACTTCTTTTTTTTCTAGTCTTTGGCCTCAGCAAGAGGGGGACACCGGTGCATGCACCGCGAACCCAAAACCTCTATCCCCTTGAGGGAAAAAGTCTCAGCGCGACCCGTTCCTCTTCGAGAGGGTGAGGGTTAAAGGACTAAGGCACCTACCACTTGGATCGGTGCGGGACGTCCGGAACCACCTCCGACAATGAGCTCTAGTCGGGGAATTTCAACTGCGCCTCCTGTTGAATGCCTAAACGTCAAAGGGCGACAGAGCCAAATGGGCAGGTAAGCCATTCTCATCTAGTCTATTTTGCTACTCTCCAACCACACGCCATGTCATAGAGGGGTGGCATGGCCGTTTGGGTCGGACCACAGCTGCCCGCGCTAAGTTGGGCGGTACTGTCCAAGGGGAGAGGCTTGGCGAGGTACCGGGTGGAGTCCGCCACCACCACGGGGCATTGACACTGCCCTGCCGGAACATTACAACCGTCTCGGGACTAATTGCGAGGTCTTCGTAACTGCACTCGTGGACTGATCGAGAGCCCCAACTCTCTTGAAAGAAAGAGGTCGGAATCCAGAAAATTACCACTCGGGAGGAACGATTCGCAAGGAACGCTCTTACGGCTAGACGAGGCCTTGGCAGGCTTGGATTGGACCTGCCTGGCAGACGTGAGGAGGAACCTTGGTATTGGTGCTCGCCACGTAAGAGAAGAAAGGTCGGACCGGGTAGAAGGATGAGGCGTCGTCCACTCGGGAAGAACTGATCACTCTTCCTTTTGTGAAGCGGATGGGCTTGTGTCCTTGACTTGCGGTCGGCGGGCCAAAGGTCTGCGTACCTCCGAGTGAGAACCAGTCGCGCGATGGGGACATCGCGTTTTGAGTGGGGGGAAGGTGTGCCGTCTACCAATGAATACGCATGAAAAATAACACTTGTAATTGATCTTGGGAAAAAGGGGCCTGTCAAAATGGCGGGAACAGAAAAAGATTGTAATTGACTTTGTATGGGCCTGAGAAAAAGGGGCATGGCAAGATGCCAGAGCAGAAAAAACTTGAGTAAGTGACATGGTATAAACTTGAGAAAATGGCTTGGCAAGATAGCCAGGAAGGAAAGGGCTGGTGTGATTGATTCTGCAACCCAGGAAAGGAATTGGCAGACTGAGAATTGGTTGTGCAATTGGCTCGTATAAGCTCGAAAAGATGAGAAGTGGCTGAGGGGTGAGCCAAGCAAGGCACACGGAGAGTCAATTAAGTAAAGGGCAAGAAAAGGCAGAGGATGAGGTGCATGCGGAATTGGCAGGACCTGAGAAAGGCCGGGAGGAATGACCCGGTAAGGATGCATGTGGATTTGGCTATGTCTGAGCTTCGGGGAGAGGAAAAATTGTATTGAAAATGAGTGGATGTCCTAAGAGTAATGAATGAGACAAAGCTAAAAATGATTTTTGCTCAAGAATGTTTTTTCAATGAAATGGGAAGATAGATTTGAGATTACGAATGCAGCCTTCAAGACATTGTCGAGAGCGAGAAATAAAGTACAATGAAAAACTAGTTGCAGGGCATGTCTGTGGTCAGACCCCTCCAAGGGGCGATGCTAGTCAACTTGATAAGGAAAAGAGACATCAAGCTGCTTAAGCTCCTTGATGTGTTGCTAGCTCGCACCTGGAGGAAGCCATGGCGAATGATCCTTGTGACATTCGCCGCCAAAATCTTCCTCTTACCATGGTCCCTGGGGAGGGTGATAGGCTCGTCGTCCTCTCGTTTGTGGGACGACTTCGGAGGTTGGTGGGAAGCTCTTGGGTATTCGGGAGTTCCAGTGAGAAAGAGATACAATTGTGAGACGGACGTTGATGCACAGAGAATGTCACGCGCTCGTTACAAAAACATTATTGAGCTTAGGGACGTTACGCTATTCAAAGAAACCCGAAAAAAAGGGCGGAAGCATAAAGAAGGACCCGAGAAAAGAGTGGGAAAGACAAAAACAACCCTGGCAAGCTAACTACCCATTCCACCCCACCTCTCTTCCCTATCTGTCTATCACTCCAAAATTCCTACTGGCCATGGATTGGTGCGTGATGAGGACATCGCGAATGAGTGGGGGGAATATGTCGGGACTGGTGAGTCCCGAATGACTTTCCGTCACTCGAGAGACTGTATATGACCAATTTGTGCACGACAGAGAAAACCGGAGGCAGGTATGCTGGAAAGAGCGGAAGCATGGGCACGGACAGTAGGAAGCCAGAGGCTGCCCAGAGTCGTCGGGGTCGCCAGACTAGAAATGGGTTGGCTAAGCAAAAAGCGGCAAAAGGACTTGTGAGAGAACAGTAGGGGCGACTCCTTCCCCAAGGACGGAGAAGGGCCGCCGGGAAGTCGGTAGTAGCATAGGAGGTGCGCAACAAGGGAAGGAAGGAAGTGGGAAGGGACAGGGTGCAAGGCGTTGACGCAACGCGGCGGCAGGAGGGCCAGGGAGACCGCAGGGTAGGTGGGAGTCGGCACCCGGAACGGGATAGCATGCGGGACGCAATAGGAGCGGGGAGCGGAGGTCGCTGTAAGGCAGAAAGACGTCACGGGCACCAAGGAAAGATGTGGTACAAGCGGGGCAGGAGTGTCGGGGACCACATGGGATCGAAGGACGGGGCGGTACCAGCAGGACAAAGCGTCGGGGACCACGCAGGACCAAGGGACGGCGTGGTGCCGGCAGGGCTAAGTACCGGGAACCGCGTGAGACCAAGGGAAAGACGTAATGCAGACAGGCCGAAGTGCCAAAGACCGCTGTCGGAGGGCACGGTGTCCCGACCCTCCTGTGAACCGAGTCTCTGCATAGTACCAGTTTCCTGCTCTGGTACCTGGGTTGTCTCTCGGCGTGGACAGGCCCCGGTGGCGCAGCCCTCAGCAAAAGGGGTGCACCACAGGACTTCCATTGGTCCACGCAGACTCGGCGCTCTGCTGTACAGCAGAGCACAACCAGCCTGTGGCCATGGGAGCCGCCGGGTTCGCCCTGGGACGCGGAGGTGAGAGGGCTGGCTCGGTTTTTTCAAGGGTGCGCCGAGCGCCCCTCTACTGAGTTATGGGTAAGATGCATGAGATAGAAAGTCGTTGTCGGAAAAGGAAAGAGGAAAAAGAAAATAAAACGCCAAAAATCTAAACCCGCCTTAGTATGGGGAAAATCCAGTGGCCTCGGGTCACTGCGATGCTGTGATTTCTTTTCCAAAAATTTTGAATTGCCGTTTCCCACGTGATTGATCTGTCACTTCATAGGGAAGGCCGCCAATTCAGGTCTCGGACCGCAACTGTCGTCTCATGGTCTGGGTCTGATCGACCCCTCGTAAAATTGCCTACCGGACCTGTTTGTCCGAATCGTGCGGACCCCGGTGGCTAGGTTAAGAGGCAGATACAGTGAGAACTAAAAAGAGAAGAATATGGGAAAAGAAAGAAAAGGAACCCCGGATCCGTGTGTGAGCGCGGGGCGCGGCTCAGGCAAGGCTGGTGCACGGAGAGATTTTGTGACGCCGCCCTTTCCTTTCTTTTCCTTTTCCTGTGGTTATTATTGTTATTTTATTTTATTATTATTATTTAGTTTCCTAAATTTGATTTTCTACCTGTTGGCTTGTCCTTTCACGGGAAGCCAACGGTTCGGATTTCGAATCATCTTTTTGTGGCCTAAGTAGGCTGATCCCACGTATACAGTCAGTGGGTGCGCTTCGAACCGACATCGCGTGGCAGGACCTCAAAAAGGGGGCGACCCGCGGCCGCATTGGTAGGAGGCTTATCACCCCCTTCATGGAGGGTCATAAGCCCCCTCCTTGCCATCGGACACGGGCACCCAACAGGGATAGACCGAGGTTGCCCTAAAAAGGGGGAAAATGTGACCATCGGTTCCCCGTTATGGGACCATAGTACCGAACCAGTTGCCATATTGCTAGGGTCTGGAGCTGTCAAGAAAAAGGCTAGTTCGTGATCGATCGATTGGGTTATAGGCACGAGTGTTTCTCTGAAAGCTATTCCGTTTTAATTTGCCAGTCATTTTGAAAACTGTAAAATTCCTGAAATACTGGTAAGGTCTGAAAAGGACTAATCTGAGTCCTTTGTTCAGAACGCAGAGGACAGGCCTATAAAAGGGGGAGGGAGTTGAGATACCGTCCGCGGCCAGTCGACTGGTGGTATACGGTCTGTACTGTGAGTTCCGGTGGGAGTGGTCTGCTATAGGAAGTTGACGATCTAGTATTGTGCTGTCTATCAAGCAGGGCAGGCTACCCCGAGTGGCAATGGCTTTGCACCGCTATTGGCCTGGCAGTTGGCGGCACACGGTGCGCTGGGTTCCAGTGTCGGGTGAAGGCCCTCTGATTACGACGGCCCTGAACTATGATGGGGGAGAAGTAGTCCGACTGAAGGTCTGCATTGAAGGGGGGAGAGAGGAGGAGATGCGAGGTGACCAGAGGCTGCAGGCTGCCATTTCCGAAGCTCGCGACAGGGCAGAGCGGAGGTGTAGACGAGATGGGGTGACCGTTGGCTTGAGAGTGACGGTCATCTATCACGAGACCGAATCATCAACTGGGACCGAGACAAGGGAGGAACAGCACAACGAAAGAGACTCAGGCGGGGAGAGTGAAATGAGCGAGGCGGACAGTGAGACGGATCTCCGGTCCTGGAACAGACCCGAGGAGATCCAAAGGCACCATCGAGCCGCGGAGCCGGTGGAAAAGGGACCTGAGGCCAGTTCACGACAACCGATCCCCAGAGGCCGCGGGACGGAGGAGAGGCAGAACAGGGGGAAAGGACGTAAGTGAGGCAGCAGCGCCAGTGAGAAAGGCATGGTTATTCTGAGAGACGGTGTGTGAGCTACAGGGCAGTTACACGTGGCGTGCTCTGAGAGGAGGTGGCGCGCGTCAGTCGATGCGTGGCACGTCCTGGAGAAGAATGAGAGGGTCAACGTTAGCATAGCCGGGTGCGGGACTGCGACACATCTGCGTACTACCTGGAAGCGTGTGCGTGACGCGCGGTGGCCCAAGAAAGGCTGACGCGGGAAGTAGAAGGTCAACGAGGGTGGCTTTTGGGGGAGACACACACGAGCGGGAAGTGTCGCTGGTGACGTCAACTGCATTCCTGCGTTAGTGTACGGTTCTCGAATTGCTGAAGACAGACGCGAGGTAGGCAGCTGCATGAAGGCGGTCTAACTACTTAGCGCATGTGAGAGAGAAGCGGGACGCTGCACTCGTGAGAGAGAAGAAGGACATGAGAGGTTAACAAGAAAGAGGGGGGAGGTTTAGCTTCTTTCTGAGGCTAAATTTGTGTGAGCTGTTTGTAGTTCTATCTCTTGCACTCCCTCGTGTGTTCAGGGCCAAAAAGGGACAGTTGAGAGTCGAGAGAGGACGAGGGGAGAAGCTCAAGAGAGGGACTGGCGGGTGCTAGTAACGCCGGTCTAGAGTGGTCTCGCGCTTGCTCAAACGAATTTAGATGAGCAAGTGTTTTTTTTTTTTTTTTGGCTTATGGGACTCGCGCGACTTCGATTTGCTCGCTAGCTGACGAGAGTGAGCCATTATGTACATTGTTTGCCTTGGATATGATTGGTGCGGTGATCAGTCTCCACGCTGCTTGACGATGTTTTAATGATCAACGAGACAATTCTTGAGGATGTGAGGAGACTAGGATGTTCCCAACTCAGACCCTTGTTACCAATCGCTTGTAGTTGGACTAAAATCGGTGGGAGAACTGCCTCGAGAGAGACAAGGCAGAGAGAGTTATCAGGCGCTAGCTTTTGTGTAGGGGCGTCAGATCAGCAGGGACTTTCTTCTAGCTAACGACGACCGTTGTTGACATCACTCTCCCAGTTCGATCATTGGCTGTTTGGGTTTATTGCCCTTCATATTCCATGAGCCGTATACGGTAATGATCAGAGGCGATTAAACATTTGGTGTGAGAGTGACTAGCTAATGAGGAAGGAGACCCGACGTTGTACTGTGCATGGGTTTCCATATTGGCGACGCGTTTCAATTGGCATGGCATGTATTACTCTCTCTGGTTCGTGTAGAGGATCACTAATAAGTAATTGAGGTTAAGTAACTTTCTCACGCTACTACACAATAGTATCTTGGTGGTGGGGAGCTTTGTCTTGTACTAGGCTCTCTTCTCTCAACATCTTGCTCTTCTCCCGAGTGTATGGGAACAAGAACGCCGAAGCACTGTCTTGAAATGAAGCAACTCTCTCTGAATCACCTGGCTYAGCAATCATAACCCTTTGAGGAATTYCARAKTGGTTYAAGTAAAGGTCGTAATGCTGGTAARTGAYTGCGAAATGGYGAGTCTTGAAAAGAGTGGCTTACTTGCTGATTAGGTTCCTTCTTGATGGCGACTGAAGTGTGTGGTGTTTTGATGAATCGCTCGCTATTCGACAGGGCAGTAAGAAATGGAAGAGATTGATTTAAGTCTTTTGTTGGGGTTCTCTTTAATTCGAATAACCCGAGGGTTAAGATCTATTGATCCACTTTTTACCTTTTTTCATGAGGTGCTTGCCCCTATACTCGAGTCTCAAAGTAGAAGCGGCGCCAGACACATGTAGGACCTGCCTCCAATGCTGTTTGATTATCGCTCTATATGGGTCTATTTCAGTGACACACTGCATTTCGATTGAATGATGAGTTGCAACACCTACCTAGAATACTACTCGCACTTGGTGCTATCGAAGCAAAGGCAAAGCAAATGCCGACTGAGAATTGAATTCCCTCGCCTCATTAATTGATTGGAATAAAACAGAACTTTTGTCCCTATGCAGCAGAGTGCCAAGGACATGTAAAGACTCTTGCTCTTTTTTTTATAAATCTCAGCTGAGTGGTCGTAGACTGTCAGCATTTCTACTTTGGACGTCCCTGGAAGTGGGGTCAGTGATCGAAACCCCAAAGTGAGCTTCAAGAAGTACCGAGAGTCCTAATCTGAGGAACAAGACCCTTCTGCCCCCCCCAGAAAGGGAACCCACAAGACAAAACGAGCTATGAAGTAAACGAAACTACTGGGATTCTGCCTTGTGTGGGGTTTTCTTTCCCTTTCCGAAAAAGGATTTTATTTGGGTTCCAGGTAATGTAATTTGGGTGTGGGAAGAAGAGCGTGGGGAATACCTTCCCTACGCAAGATCAGACCAACTTTCTACTCTGAAATGTGTTAGTACTCTTATCTCTTATCTGCGAGTAGTTGTCGTTGAAACTCATCAAAGTCGAGCTTGGTCCTGAGCACATCAAGTGTTTCATTCAGTCCATGAAAGGAGCTGCTCTTCTTCTGTACTTGAGTCAAAGCCTGTTGTGTCAGATCAAGCCCAACGCTATCTTACTAACCCTTTATGCAGAGTTCAGGACTCACCTGGGAGTACCTGCAAGATATGTGAGTAGGTTTACGAGCAATGCCTGAGTGGGGATTACGCTAAAAAGGGACCCCAGAAGAAGTTGTGATGTGCCCGATACCTGTCAGAACTTAGGACAGACAAGGTGGTTTGTCCAGGTGCATTTGAGTGGGTCTTCCATTGAGGAGGTCTCGGGAATAAACAGAAACCCGTTTGGAAGAGAGCGACTTGTTTCCTCACATGGTACGCAGTCCCTAGGAGATCTGATTCTAACAGAACAGCTGGTTACTAAAACGTGGAACTGATTACATCAGTTCCGCCGGGACAAGTTTTTATTGAGTGGAAATTCCCCGCAATTGGCGACAAAGTATTAACCTTGAGAACGCCACTTTTCTCAGTCTTTCTCTAATGATCAGAGAGGTACTCTGATCAACTGGGCGGATCATTGATATTGCCCGCCCCTGTAACAGGTTGTATGCTGTACTGAACACGAGCTCTTTCTCCTTTTCTTTTTTTGGTTGGGTCCTGAGGCAATCAGCGAGCACATCTGCAAGCTAGTCATTAGTTGAAGCTCGGAGCCTTGACTGCAAGTACCTCAACTGAAGGGTGGGAGATAGTGATACCGTAAGGGTGATCCGCTCCTCACACGGTGGTACGGCAGGTGACTGGAGAGACTGTGTTTGACAACTACTAATCTTCAAATGATTATTATTATAGAGCATGCATTAACGCTCGTAAGGGGCCAGACAGAAAATGAGTTTACCTATTATTTGCATGACGTGAACCGAAAAACTGCATGCCACTGTCATTAGCGGTCTCAGCTGAAGAAGCAAGGAGAGCCATTTGCAGGTATTAGTGAGAGGGACTAATCACCTATTTTATGAGAAATGGGCCTGCGCCAGATAGGGAGACAGACTAGTGGAAACCGAACCTGGTCTGAGATTGGTCTAAATTGGACATACAGCGGAGCTTTGGTTCAGACGGCAAATTCTGACCAGTAATTAGACAGACAATCAATCTGCAGTCAGTAATACTCAATTTGCAACCAACAACAGTCCAAACTGTGAACAATCGGTAGCCAGTGGTATTCAGATGTGCAGTCGACAACAGTTCAAATAGTGAGCAAACAGTAATCAGACAACCATCAAACACCGTACAGTTGGCTTGCGAACTACCTCGTGCATGAGAGTGGCCGTTGTGACACATCGCTGTATGATCTGAATGTAAAAGAACGGAGACATGAAGGACGATGAGATCCTAACAGCAAAGAGCACCCTAATCAAAGAAAAGCAAGAGGGATGGGAGGAAGGAGCCTGCCGAAATATGGAATTTAATAGTATAGTTCAGCGTGAGTACGCGGTCCAGAGGGTGAAGGGTGAGAAGTACATCGAATACGTAATCTATTTCTACGGAGTCAACGACAAGTTGCACAGTACCAGTTCCTCGCTTGAGACAGTGGAACAGGCCAAGGCAAGGATCTCGTGAGTTTGATTGTCCGAGTGACACTACTCTCTGAAACAACACTCAGAGCAGCTCTCAGTTCAAAGCGTGGATCTTCAGTACTCTGAGCAGTTTTCCAGTACTTGGTGCAGTCTTCAATACTCGGGGCGGTAATCTGCTCGCAGAACAGTGATCAGGGCTCAGAATAAAAATCAGCGAATTCCATACAAGATCAGCGATCAGAACAGACCCAGTGAACTTGAAGCAGACTTAGTGAGCTTCGTGCAGAGCCAGTAATCTCAGCAACATCCAGTCATCAGGTCAATAATCTCAACGGTACCCTGTTTTCTCAGTTAAGCAGTAATTAACAAGCAACCTTTTCAGTCCTTGACCGACAATTAACCAGCAACTAACCAACATTTATTCAAGCATCTGGTTGGCAATCTCAACAACATTCTCATTAGAATAACAATTATCAGATCAACAGTCGGATCAACAATTGTTCAGTCTCCTAATCAGCATCAAGATGCAGCACTCAGAAAACAACAGCTAGTTATCAGCAACCAGTTTGCAGCAGCTCAGCAATTAACCCCATAGCCTTTTCATACCCAGATCATCCAAGAGTCACCCGTCTTGAGTTAAGTGGACTGATGTTGTGAGGGTTCAGTGAGAGTATGGACAACCGCAACACAATTAGAGTCTCCTGCTCGCTGTATCAGAGTGCTGAAGAGGACTGGAGGGAGAGTGCAACTGAGGAGTATAATCGGCAAACTATTATGATGATGGAACACGCGTTGGCTCTCGTGAGGGATCATACTAAAATCGAATACACATACGTCTTGCATGACAAGAGCGGCAAGCTATGTGCCACTATAACTTCAGTATGCACTGTTGAGGAAGCAAGGGGGATTGCCTAGAGACCACCAGTGAGCGCTCTGTCTCTGAACAAGGACAGCTCACCTACCTGGACGCTCAACAATTAGTCATCAGCGATCATTTAATCAGCAATCAG